GGCTTAAGCAATTCTCTTGCCTCAGCCTCCCAAGTAGCTGGGACTATAGGTGCCCATCACAATGCCTGGCTATTTTTTGGTTGTAGTTGTCATTGTTATTTAGCAGGTCCGGGTGGGGTTTGAACCTGCCAACTCCAGCGCCTGTGGCTGGTGCCCTAGCCACTAAGCTACAGGCACCAAGCGACAGACAAGATTTTATATTACCCTCATGCACCCCAGCACCTGCTACATCTATCCCCTGTAGTTATTTGCAAACTTAAGACAGGGAAAAACCAAAACTGCCTCTTCTGCACTCATAGACTAAGAGCTATTCTATGACCCTAGACACACAAACGGTTTCAACAATTTCCTAACTGAAAAATAAACAGCACTGAATGGAACTGAGATCTGACAAATGTCCTACTTCCTGCTATATCTGGTAGAGAAATTTGGAACCAATCACAGCTCAACAGTCAGTATAGATAAAGAATGTTGAAGCACAGAAACTCAAGTCACAGTCACAATTTTTAGTACTAGGAGGGTTAAATTAACGGATGAATCCAAGCAAGGGAAGAAGATGAAGGCCTGTATTACCACAAGACCTTGAATGTGAGTGATCCTGAAAAAAGCAATCAACTAAACAGCATGTTGCAGCACAAATGTAGAACATCAAAGTGGTGACGATGGGTAGCAATTAGTGTTTACACTATTTGCTAGGCACTAGTCAACACAATTTATATGCATTTATTCATTTGATTAACACAATATCCCGTGATATAGGTTCTATTTTTATCCTCATATTAGAGATGAGAAAATAGACAGACTTAATAACTTGCCCACTGCCACTTAAAGAATTAGGATTCAAACCAAGGCAGTCCGGTCTGCAATCACAATACCCAGCCACCATGCTAAATGCCTCTCCACAGCACAGTTATTAGGGAGTATCCTACCAAAAGGTGTAAAAGATACTTATCTGCCCCCAAGTACAGAGTTCAAATACCACACAAACAATGGGACTGACCATTTGAAGTATCCACCCAACTACCAGTGGCTAAAGGAAAGACTAAAAGCCCAAACTGGAAAGAAGGGGGAGTATCCAAAGGAAGAAGCTTGGATCCCTCTGTGATTAGATACTTTATTCCAGTGGTTCTCAACCTTCCTAATGCCATGGCCCTTTAATACAGTTCCTACGGGTCATGACCCACAAGTTGAGAAATAGTACTCTATTCACCCCTGGAAGTACCAATAATCCTATCATCGTTACTCAAGTTCAAATACAACCCCATTAAGAAAAAGTTATTTCAGAGGAATTTCACGTGAATGCACTTACCCTGCAAGCTAAACACACAAACACACTTGCAAGGTCACCTCTCCAACAGTAATCTCTACAGGCAACAAGAGATTAAGATGAGAGTTTCAAGGTCTGTGAACGCCAGTCATCAAGGATGCTCTTATCTGAGTAAAAGGGTTCACTTGTACAACTACAGACGATGAGCCCTTTTACACAGAAGTAATTTATTAGCACTTCAACTCCTGCCTTTTAGACATTTAAACATTCTAGCCTTTCTCACATCACATACATTTTGTAGAGCAAAGTAACAAGGGATAATACTCACCAAACCATTTAATATTTGGCTCTACTCTTGCCACTGTGCCAGAAGCCACTGTTGATTGATATTGCAGGGGCTTGATTACTTTACCACGACTGTTCCTAAATTGAGGAAATAACAAATTTTGGTTGACAAAAGAAGAAAGGCAACAGCAAAGTTTGGTTTACAGAATACACTTTCCATCAAAAGGACTTTTATTCTATTTTTGTTTTTTTTTTTTGAAACAGAGCCTCAAGCTGTCACCCTGGGTAGAGTGCCATGGCATCACAGCAACCTCTAACTCCTGGGCTCAAGCGATTCTCCTGCCTCTACCTCCCAAGTAGCTGGGACTACAGGCACCTGCCCCAGTGCCCAGCTATTTTTTGGTTGCAGTTGTCATTGTTGTTTGGCAGGCCCAAGCTGAATTTGAACCTGCCAGCTCAGGTGTATGTGACTGGCGCCTTAGCCACTTGAGCCACAGGCGCCGAGCCTTTATTCTGATATTTAATGATCATGAAATACAGATTCCAGTAAACAAAAAAGTATTTCTGCATTTAAAACAGATTTCACCAAAGTCATTTAACCTCTTGCAACAGAGCACGTAATGATTTCTGCTAGAGGAATAACAAATAATGCTATGTTTAAAAATCCATTTACTGTTTGATTACTTCTTTAAAAAAATCACATATTTGAGTCTTTTTGGTAATCATTTGAAGGATGGTTTACATGAATTTTTAAGGAGAGGGTGATTTATGATGGAACTCAAAATTCTAAAATAAACTGTAAAGTAAGTGACTAAGGCAGATTAAGTTCACTGGTGTTTCGTTTCATACACATCTTTTAGAACAGATGAAGAATCCTAATTACCAAACAAATTAAGACCAGCAAGCTAAATGCCACACTAAGCAAGTTCCTGTGCTAGAGGCTGCCTCAGCAGAACTCAGAGTTGTGATGAGTGGCCAAGAGCCACAATGTTGTGGCATCATAAAATAAATTTAGGCTTTAACTATAGTCTTATATGCTTTGTATTTCCACCTGACAAATGTTTAGCTGTAAAATTTAATGGCACATTCATGTAGGTCAAAGATGTAGGGAACACAACCTTTATTTGTGGAGTATTGTAAAACAGTCACTATTGCACCACCCACTACTCATACCCTTAGCCAAAAATGATCAGTGTATCATAGCAACATTCATATAAGATGATATTTGAAAATATACTACTATTTGGAGAAAGTGGGGATGCGAACATCAAAGGCTTAATCAGTTTCAGCTACAAGTCAAGGGCATGACACACAGGGGAGAGGACGGCAGCACCCAGTGCTCACCTGCGTTCCTTTTGCCTATACATATTCAGGCGCCGGATTGTGGCCCGGTCCCTCATGTTTTGGCCTCCTGCTCCCTGCACTCGATCTACAAAAGGCAGAAGGAAACAGAATACTATTTGATAAACAACACGTACAAGTAAGGTCACTGTTTACAATATACTAAGTAGCTCACCCAAGCTAGACAAGCTGCCACCTCACCACAAAATCTCTACCTATGTTGCTCCAACAAAATTATTATTCAAAGCTACATGATGTGACAAAGTAGACTCCATCTTTGATTTTCACTACGATTGTGTTTAAGAATACTAACTTATATTTTATTAGTTAGAACTGTGCTAGCCACATTACAGGCATTGCCTCATTTAAGTCATACAATAATTCTATAGAGATGTTATCCCAGTGCTGCAGACTGAGGCACAGTGGTCACACACCTTGCCCAAAGTCACACAGCTACGGAATGACACAGTGAGAATTTGAATACAAGCCTTTGATCACCATCTGTGCTCTTAACTATGAAGACACCTGCCTCTGTGTCTCAGTTTAACAAATACTGAGTGCCTGCTACATAGAAGACAACATGAGACAACTTTGATATCATACATATGAATATGTGTACACACAAGTATTCTTAAAGTGTGTAGAAAAAAGTCAAGAAGAACTTCCTAAAGTCAACTAGGAAATTAACTTGTTAACTTACTTAACTTGTTAACTGACTTGTTTGACTTTAATCAACAGCTAACTAGGTGGTAATTCTTGCCTTATATCTCAAAGAGAGACAAACAAGCAAGGTAATACTAGCCTAACTTCTCATTTTAGGAGCCCTTCAAACTATCTGTCTGCAACTGAAGTGATGCAGTATAAAAGAGGCCAAAAATCACAGAACTGGAGGTTCTACTACTCATTAATTGCGCCAGTTATGACAAGCCACCTCCCCTGGGTCTTTGGGAGCCTAACATTCTGAGATTCCAGTCCACCCAAACTGAATGATTTATTATCAACCCAGAGAAATCATTCAACATGCATTAAAGTCGTCAAAAATGCTAAAACATGTTTGGAAACAGAAGTTGTATTAACTAAGCCGGAATAGAACGAACTCCCCCAAAGGCTGGCTTACTTGTCCAACCTGCAGGTGGAACCTAGGCAGAAGTTATACATATCTCCAAAAATATCTTCATAGACATGCTCCTATTGATTTATCTGGAGGATTTTCTATGCCCTTTACAGGAATGGGATGATTCCAATGACCAAATCTACAATCCCGTTCTCACTTAGTCAAAGTTAAAGTGCCAGCCAAGTTAAGTGGCTCGGCCGTACTCCACTTTTAATGGTTCTCTGAAACTCTCAGCAGTGGAGGACCCAAGGCTGCGGGCCTGAGCGCTCACGTGACCGAGTGACTACACCTTGGCCTGCCAGTCGTGCGAACAGTCCGCCCTCCTCAGAGCCCCCAGTGAGGAAACTGCCACAAACACTGATTTCCTTCTCCTTTCTCGTCCCCAGTCGTCACTTTGCTCGCGGTCTCCCGCCAAGCAATGCCACCGGCTGCCCCTCTTTCCTTCCCTGTCTCCTCCGAGCTCTCCCCTCCAAGCTTCCACCCGCGACGAACCCCGCCGCCCGTACCCGGGTTTGTGCTGGCGTTGGAGGGGTTGATGGTGCTCCGTCCCTTGTACTTGGGCTTCACCATCTTGGCGACGAGACGGGCACCGGAGCGCTAGGTCCGGCTAACGTCGGAAAAACGAGCCCAAAAGTTCCCAGGCCCGGCTGAAGTGACCCGCGTGAACCACGCTGTACCACGTGTGCAAGAATACGTCACTTCCGCTCGCGCCCAGGTTTGCGCCTGCGCGACATCCTGCGAACGCGCGGCGCGCACCTCCCCCTTTTTGGCTCCGCCCCCGTCCCTGACACTTGGACACA